TAATGCTATATTTTGCTCATGAGTGAAGTCACTCGATAAAGTACGAGGATTTTATTAATTTTTTAAAAAGTATTAGTAAGGAACTTTAATGTTCAATATAATTCTATTACATTGATAGTTATGTTTTTCTTATAAAAAATTAAATTCCTATTTACTTCCTTTCACTAATGGAAGCAAGAATAGGTTTTTATTAAAGTTCAAGATTTTAAGGAAGATCTTTTATATGTGTAATGAAATTGTTTTGCATCCTGTTGTTTATACAGCACATAATAGTAAAACAAAGAGTTAAAGTGGTGCATAAATTTTGTGAAATAACAGAAGCACTTGATGACATTAATGATTATGGTTTTTTGTCTTTAAAGTACATTTCAAACGATGAAAAATACAAATGTTTTGTTTTAAAATGTTTGCACATTCTTACTAAGATGATAATGTACTATTTATAACGATTTAATAAATAAGTTTACTGCATTCAGGAATGTAATGCAACTATCCTTAAACATTATCTTAAAATGTTATCATATTCACATAAAATGTTCAGTTACAGTTCCGAGAAATCGCAAAAAAAGGCATTATTTTAGTTAATCGGTGCGATAACTCTATTCAAACTCAATATTAAGACTTCCGGTTTCTCGCTTCTGATTGATAATGGCTATCGCAAGAACTGTATTGTTTTTGGAGTCATAAGATGCTTCCAGTGAGGCACAAGATGCATAAACATTTTTGTATGGAAAAAGTTTAACCGATTATTACATAACATATATTTTTTTTGTTTACAACGGAAATATTTGTTGGTAGTAGTTTGATATTAATAAAATGGTTGTGACAGTATGCATTAAGTTAAATGTATGTGAAAAAATGTTGAAACTAGCGAGTTCCTTCACAAGATTCTGGATACTGGATCTATGTTATTGAATAAATACTTTACTTGTATCATAATGGAAATATGTTTTTGGTTCCAGCATTGATTTTTTTATTGCTATATACTTACTGGATCTTGGTTCCAACGATAGCACAATTTCAATTTAAATTTTAGTGGACTGGATTTAATTTTTAATGACAAATTAAATCATTTAACCAATTTTTCACAATGATCTCTCAATTTCAACAAATTGTCAAAGCCCACTAAGAAATTTTTCTTATTTCTTAATTATAAAAAAATTGAAATTGAAATTAAAATTGTCAAAGCCCACTTAGAACTTTTTCTCAAATTTTACTGGATCATGATTTCAAGTTTTAGACATGATTTAAACTTTACTGGATCTTGGTTCCAAGTTTTAGACATGCTTAAATCTTTACTGGATCATGAAAATTTGTTGCAGACATGAATAAAACTTTACTAGATCTTGTTTTTAAGTTTCAGATATGATTAAAACTTTACTGCATCATGAAAATTTGTTGCAGACATGAATAAAACTTTACTGGATCTTGGTTCCAAGTTTCAGACATGCTTAAAACTTTACTAAACTATTATAATTTGTTGCAGACATGATTAAAACTTAACTGGATCTTGGTTTATTGCTTTAGACATGATCAAACCTTTACTGGATCTTGTTTTTAAACATCAGACATGATTAAAACTTAACTGGATCTTGGTTTTAAGTTTCAGACATGATTTAAACATTACTGGATCTTGGTTCCAAGTTTCAGATATGATTAAAACTCAACTGGATCTTGGTTTTAAGTTTCAGACATTCTTAAAACTTTACTGGATCTTGGTAATTTGGTGCAGACATGATTGAAACTTTACTTGATCTTGGTTTTAAGTTTCAGACATGATTGAAACTTTACTGGATCTTGGTTTTAAGTTTCAGACATTCTTAAAACTTTACTGGATCTTGGTAATTTGGTGCAGACATGATTGAAACTTTACTGGATCTTGGTTTTAAGTTTCAACCATGATTAAAACTTAACTGGATCTTGGCTCCAAGTTTCAAAAAAAATCAAAATGATAATTTGTTCCAGACATGATTAAAACTTTTTTGAATCTTGGTTTTAAGTTTCAGATATTCTTAAAACTTTACTGGATCATTGTAATTTGTTGCAGATATGATTAAAACTTTACTGGATCTTGGTTTTAAGTTTCAGACATGCTTAAAACTTTACTGGATCATTGTAATTTGTTGCAGACTTGATTAAAACTTTACTGGATCTTATTTTTAAGTTTCAGACATTCTTAAAACTTTACTCGATCATTGTAATTTGTTGCAGACATGATTAAAACTTTACTGAATCTTGGTTTTAAGTTTTGGACATGATTGAAACTTCACTGGATCTTGGTTCCAAGTTCTTTAATTTTTGTAACTACATTTAATTGTACGTTTGTAGTGCAAAAAACGTATTTTTAATACCTCTCGCACTCAGCCTACGAAATTGTATATAATTCTCCTCTTTTTTTTGTTTAAACCATAGTGTCCATCAAGTAGAACGGTGACCTAACGAGTTGAGTGATGTACTATATGTGGGTTTTTTGTGCTATTTTGTGAAAGCAGAAAAACAACCTCTTTGAATTTTGTGAAGATTCCAGGTCCGAGATATGAGCATTTGAAAACGGAACTAGGTCCGATTTTTCACATTCTTACTTTTTCAACTTTATCTCAAGCAAGACTAAACGAAAATTGTTGAAACCTTGCCTGTTTTATGTGCAATTGACCTTTAATCAAATAAACTTAACAACTAGTGTATCGGGTAGAAACCCAATGCGGATTATATTCACACCGTACTATCATAAGTCTTATGAATAGACCAAGATTTGCCCATCATAAGTATGAAGGTATGAAGCTTGATAAGTCAACTAAGCTACGCTCAGCATAAGTTTGAAGATATAAAGCTAGAGTGTCAGCTGAGCTACGCTCAGCATAAGTTTGAAGATATGAAGCTAGAGAGGCAGTGGAGCTTCGCTCAGCATAAGTTTAAAGATATAAAGCTAGAGTGTCAGCTGAGCTACGCTCAGCATAAGTTTGAAGATATGAAATTAGAGAGGCAGTGGAGCTTCGCTCAGCATAAGTTGAAGTTATAAAGCTATCGCGTAAGCTGAGCTACGCTCAGCATAAGTTTGAAGGTATAAAGCTTGACGAATATGCCAAATATTCTTTAAAAGTTTTTTAAAAAAAATTTTCATGCAAAGTTGAATTTTATAAAAATCACAGTCAACTTTTGTTTTAAAAAATTCGTAAGAAAGGAAAGTTTTTTGCCATTTCTGAAGCAACGGCTGTTCCTACCTTGCCCAAAAACAATACAGCTCTTCTATAGAGTAGCACGGATCAAATGTAAAAAACTAGAAGTCTCTACGATGTCTCGTTATTGAGATTTCTTGCTGATTAACTTGCTTGCTTGCTTGCTTGCTTGCTTGCTTGCTTGCTTGCTTGTTTGCTTACAGAAAGCGTATTTTGCGATTTTCTCAGCAATGCCACAACCAATTTGAAATCTGTTTTTTGAAAATGATGTAAAATTTCAGGCACAAACTTTTCTTCTTGCCCTTTTATAACCAATTTTGCTTTGTTTTCTCACAAAATGCGAAAAACTGATTTTTCAATCTGAACAAAACCAATAGATTCACACGTGAAAACGGTGTGAATATAAAAATATTTTAGGTTCCATAGCTGTAAAGATATGGCAATTTTATGATTCAACCTAGTACAAAATTAGCTAATACAAGCATAGTAGAATCGCCATATCTTTACAACTATAGAACCTAAAATATTGTTGTTAAGTTTTTTTGATTAAGGGTCAATTGCACAAATTACTGGCCAAGTTTATACACTCTTTATCAAAACTTATGCGATTTACAGTCAAAAATGTAAAATAGTAGCTAATTTTGCCTTAGGTTGAATCATAAAATTGCCATATCTTTACAGCTATCGAACCTAAAATATTTTTGTTAAGTTTATTTGATTAAGAGTCAATTGCACAAATTACTGGCCAAGTTTATACACTCTTTATCAAAACTTATACGATTTACAGTCAAAAATGTAAAATTGTAGCTAATTTTGCCTTAGGTTGAATCGTAAAATTGCCATATCTTTACAGCTATGGAACCTAAAATATTTTTGTTAAGTTTATTTGATTAAGAGTCAATTGCACAAATTACTGGCCAAGTTTATATACTCTTTATCAAAACTTATACGATTTACAGTCAAAAATGTAAAATAGTAGCTAATTTTGCCTTAGGTTGAATCGTAAAATTGCCATATCTTTAAAGCTATGGAACCTAAAATATTTTTGTTAAGTTTATTTGATTAAGGGCCAATTGCACAAATTACTGGCAAAGTTTGAACATTCTTAATCAAAATTTACCGGATTTACAGTTGAAAATGTAAGAACGAAAAGCTAGTTTTGCACTAGGCTGGAACGCAAAATGGCTATATCTATACAACTATATGACATAAAATTTTTTTGTTAAATTTATTTGATTGAGGAACATTTGCACAAATTACTGGCCAAGTTTGATCACTCTTTATCAAGATTTACCAGATTTACAGTAAAAAATATAAAAAAATAGCTAATTTAGCACTAGGTTGCATTTTAGAATCGCCATATCTTTACAACTATGGAACCTAAAATATTTTTGTTAAGTTTATTTGATTGAGGGTCAATTGCACATAAAACAAGCAAAGTTTCAACAATTTTCGTTTAGTCTTGCTTGAGATAAAGTTGAAAAAGTAAGAATGTGAAAAATCGGACCTAGTTCCGTTTTCAAATGCTCATATCTCGGACCTGGAATCTTCACAAAATTCAAAGAGGTTGTTTTTCTGCTTTCACAAAATAGCACAAAAAACCCACATATAGTACATCACTCAACTCGTTAGGTCACCGTTCTACTTGATGGACACTAAACCATAAACGTCAGACCCATACCCCTTTAAAACGTGATTAAAGATGACCCTCTTTTATCGAGTTGAATTTAAAACATTATGAGCAATAACTGAAGAATACGAATTTTTCTAGAAAATTATTAACGGTTGAATTTTTTTTAAAAGCATTAGAAAGTGTTTTGTAATAAAAGTGTAAAATAGTTTTTTGATTTTATAATAAAAAAATATTAAATTTCAAATTATGGCTAATAAAAATGAAACTCAGCAAGATGAAGTAAATGCGAATGACTTAAATAGTAAAGAAAACAACGTGAATTGTTCAAAAAATTCAATTGATGGCGAGAATCATGGTAATAAAAGGAAAAATAATATTTTTCTTTCAAAATAATTTGCCTATTTTTTTTTTTGTTCTTCAAAAGATTTTAGACAGAGTGAAGCACCAAAGGAAATTTCAAATCCATTCTCATTTAAGCACTTTCTTAAACAGGATACTGTAACTCATAACATCAATTCATTGAATGGAAATGAAATAACAGGTACAAGTAGTAACAATAATGGAATTTTATCTACAACGTCACCATCAAGGTCTAGCAACAGTTCAACAGGAGCACGACCTAAAATTCCACAATTTCAGTCGGTTAATGTAATACAAAATCAATCAGATTCACGTATGAAAAGATCACCAAAATTTTCTTCCTTCGATTCTCAGTCTAGTCTATCTGAATTAGCAGAAGAACGAAACATGCATGGATCACGGAGTAATAATTGTTTCAATACAGATTATCAATTCCCATCATCACGTTCCTATTCAAATTATGATATCGAGCCATCATCATTGAAACAAAATCTTGGAAGGCGCTCACAAAATAATGTTAATAATACATCGAACTCATCCATCTTACCAGATTTTGTACAAGATCATTTGCTTATGGAATCATATTATAATGATAGTCCTTCAGCAAATATGTCTCCATTATCTTGTGAAGATTTCAGTCTAGGAAATTGTGATGCAATGAACCATCAAAATGGTTCTAAAAATACACAAAATATGTCCAGTGATTCATATGATATGCCATATAATAATCGTTCATCAAATAATCGTAGACGCGCAAATCCTACAATTCCATTAGATCTTCCTACAATAGAACGTTCGCAAAGAGGAATGCAAATTGGACTCCCTCCTTTAATGGACCTAAGTGGATCAAATGTAACTGTGCAGCGAGAAGAAACATATGGTCCACACAATGAGCCCGAAATTACAAGAGAACAGGCAGCAATTGATAAAATGCAAACTCTTCCAGATTTTCTCTCTGATGGTCCAATACATTCATCTGGAAGATTGGCAGATATAGCTACTATATCTGTTGATGAGGATAACCAATCTTTAATTATTAGATTACAACAAGAGAATGAACGTCTTCGCACAGATTTAGAAGAAGGTCGGCGAATTACTATTGATCTCGAACAGCAAATAAGTCATGCTAAAAACATAGAAACTCAATATAATGTTACTTTAGCTGAAAGTATGGAACAAGTTGAAGAGAATCTCTTCGCCAGTAATCAACGAGCTGCAGAGGCAGAAGTTGTTGCTAATAAATATAAGCAGCAAGTGAAACAATTAACTGTAAGTACACTAAACACTAAATTTATTGTGAATTTTTCATAAAGTTTTGTCTGATTTCAGATGGAAATTCAACATTTAAGACGGGAAAATGAGACTCTTCGTGAAGGAGGTGCAGTTGGGGGTGTTTCAATGAATTCAAATTTGAATAATCGACATGTGGCTAGAGATTTGCGTTTGGCAGCATCATCAGCTGAAAATAATTTAAGGTATGTACATATTTTCTATGATGCAAATTTTAATCTTTTATTTTAAATTTAATAACCTTATTGTTTTCAGACAATTATTGACGGGTGTTGAAAACTTGCGATTAATTGCGAAAACATTAGAAACCATGGAGCCATTCAAAACTTCAAATACTGACTATCTATCAGATGACACCGATGAGAATGAAGGACCAGCTTTGTAAACATGTGCATCCTTTTTTTTTATTTTTTGACCCATCCAACAAAATACAAGAAGTGAATACTTCACTTAGTAATTTCTTAATTTCTTTATTACTTTGTTGACAAAGCTACTTTGATATCTAAAGTTGAAAGAATTAAAGCCAGAACATCTGTTGTTAAATTATTTTTATATTTTGTGATACTGCATAAATTAAAAAAAAATGTTTTGCATTCTTTTGTTTCATCTTTTGTTAGATAATATGCAATAAATTAATAAACGTACATGTCACATAAAATGATAAAAGAACGACTAAACTCTTCTTTTTTTTCAAGTTTATAAATCTATGTAATTATGACAGCATCGAAGAAGTTATGATAATTCGCATTTTTATTTTTTTCTCATACAAAAATCTTTGTAAAAATAAGAACAAGTTTTTCTTTATGAAAACAACAAAATTCCTTTAAAATATTAATGGAATTGATTTTAAAACATGTGGATCCAGTATGTTAATTAATTAATAACAACTTCATCAAAACATCTGATTTGTTTACAAAATATTTTGAAGTTATTGCAGCATGTGAGACACACGCCTCCAAAACGTCACCAATTTGATGATATGACTATTTTTCAAGAAAGCTTTCAGTTCAAAAATTATTTTTCAAGACCATTGATTCTAAATGGTAAACAGGTCTTTTCGTCCGCGTGCATTTATAAATTAGTCAGAATATAAACAATAACTTTCGCATCAACAAAACTAGTTTTTTCACTAACATTATTCTATTGAGAATAATTTTCTCGACATTTTTTGGAGGATAAATAGGAGTGCGAAGACACATCGCGATCTCAGTTTGATATCAAAACTTGTGGAGTTTTTAACTGGTGAAATATTAAAACAGTGATTAAAAAACCAAGTGAAATGGTACGTTACAGGTGAAACCTAAATCAGACGCGGAGTCAAAGGATAGACCCCCCCCCCCCCCCCCTCCCTTCAAAATTATTTTAAATAAAAATTAATCATTTGTGTTCAGTTAGAAGTGATAAAAAATCAAAGGTATTGGAATGGAACAAAAATTCAGACCACTTTCTCCTAAATTTTGCTTTGGCTACGTCTCTGAACCTCATATTACTAGGAGCTAAAATACTCATTTTTACATTCCAGACTACCTATACAGACAAAGGACCTAAGGTATGAAACATTTTTATTTCATTTTAAATGATTTTAATGTCAATCTTAGATGCAAGTGTTTATGCATCCAAACAAATATTGGAAATAATTTAATTAATTTTCTAATGAATTATTGTTTATTTAATTTATCAAAACTTATTAAAATTAAAAAATAAAAAAGCCTGATGGAGGAAAATTCTTGACATTCGATCATTTAACGTTTTGGGTAAGTAATGCGAAACAAGCAGCATCATACTACGTAACACGTTTGGGATTCGAGCCTCTAGCTTATCAAGGATTGGAAACTGGTTCCAGAAAATTAGCAAAACATGTTGTTAAGCAGAATGATGTGAGTTATGCAAATTAATTATTTAAAAGCTGATTTTCTTATTTTCGGTTTCTTAATTTGTTTTTATCTTTATTGTGTAACTCAGATCATTTTCGTTTTTATGTCGCCCTATGATACTGATAATTATGAAATTGGGGGACATTTAATTAAACATGGAGATGGAGTCAAAGATATTTCGTTTGCGGTTGAAGATATTGAAATAATTGTTAATCGTGCTAAAGAACGTGGAGCTAAAGTTGTGCGTGATGTTTACGAAGAATCTGATGAACACGGAACTGTCAAATTCGCTACATTGCAAACGGTATTCATTTTAACACTTTAAAATATTTTTTTCAAAATTACCATTCTTATTTGATTTTTATAGTATGGAGATACAACTCACACTTTAGTGGAACGTAAAGATTATAAGGGATTATTTCTTCCTGGATATGTATCTCATTATGCTAAAAACGACAGTATAATGAAATTTTTGCCAAAAACCAACTTACTTCGTATTGACCACATTGTTGGAAATCAACCAGATCGTCAAATGGAAACCATTGTAGAATGGTATGTTAAATGCCTAATGTTCCATCGTTTTTGGTCAGTTGATGACAGTCAGATTCACACCGAATTTTCAGCATTGCGATCAATCGTTGTTACCAATTATGAAGAGACAATAAAAATGCCGATAAACGAGCCAGGTAACATTTGTGTTGAATTAGCTATCTGAAATGAGTATTATGTAATGTGACTTTTAGCTGTTGGTAAGAAGAAGTCACAAATTCAAGAATTTGTTGATTACTATGCAAATGGTGGAGTTCAACATATTGCACTTTTCACGGACGATATTGTTGAATCCATACAAAATTTAAAAGCTCGTGGACAAGAATTTTTGAGTGTTCCTGACACATACTATGTCATGTTAAAGGAACGTTTAAAAGCAGATGATTTCCAGATCAAAGAAGATTTCGAAACTCTGAGGAAACTGAAAATTTTGATTGATTATGATCAAACTGGATATTTGCTACAAATCTTTACCAAAAATATGCAGGATCGACCAACACTCTTCTTAGAAGTCATCCAACGCCGAAATCATAGTGTTAGTATTTTTAATTACAAAATTTAACATAATTTACAATTTCAATCTTAATTTTCAAGGGATTTGGAGCAGGTAACTTCAAAGCTCTTTTTGAAGCCATTGAAATTGACCAAGCACAACGTGGAAATTTGTAATTCATTGACATCAGTTGTTTATTGTTTTTTATTTTTCTTATCACATGGCTTAAATTTCTTTACAAAAATTGCCGAAAATCTCAATAATATAAATTTGTAAAATTATTCTGTACCATTTTTTTTTTACTTTCTAAAACTATATTCAAATTTTTTGAAGTATTAAATTTTAAAGTTTGAATAAAGTTAAGTTTTTAACCTACAAGACAACAATTTTTTAAACTAATTAAATTCTTTTGTAGCTTTTGTGAAAAGGTTTTTAATCTGACACAAAGACATTATAGGTTTGAAATAGTAACATGCCGGTATAAGCATGTGTTCGACTTTTTATAAACATTGTTTTTCTCTCTATTGCGCAAGACACACTCATACATACAAATCAAATAAGAATTATTAAGAAATCAAAAAAAAATCATTTTCAATTTTTGCAATATTAAATCATGTAAAACTTAGTAAAATATAAGTTTAAATATAAAAATATAAAGTTATACTGACAAAACATTACAATAATTTAAAAGTTTTAATTCAAGCAGTATCGATGTTAATAAAATTAGATATTACGTGCTATCATGGCTGACAAAAAGGATAATTTTTTTTCAATGTAAATTTGGTTGTGATGATTCTAGGAGAAAATTTTTTTCCAGTTGTGCAAAAGTAAAATTAAACATCTTGTCAAGTTTTTGGTGCAATCTTATAAGATTAGAAAAAAAGTCTTACTCAAACTTCCAATATGGTCTAGAAATTATTAAAAACAAAATAATCCTGATATTGCTCAAGTCACTATAAATTTGATTTCATAATACTTGAGAACAAATTATTATTAAATTTGAAAGAAAACGAAAGAATTATGCTAAATACTTTGTCTATGGGATATATTTTATTTGAAAGTGATTTGATATCTGCGTGAACAAATAATGAAAGAAGAAGAAATATTGAAATACAAATGACAAACATAGAATCGTACAATAAATTTGATAACTATATTGATATTAAAATTTGAAAAATCAGACGTAAAATGTATTCGAACGAATCAACAAAGAAATCAAAACATAGTGGATCTTCCAAAAAGAGAAGCAAAAAGAATACTTGGGGATCACGTGAACGAACTAGCATGTCCTTTCTGATTGTCATTGCATTTTTTGCAATATTTGGAATCATAATCTTAACAGAGGTAAATATAATCAATATTTTTGTTATGTTTCATGGCAAATAATGTTTTTGTGTCAGTACATATTAGTACATATAACATATTTGTGGTCGACATGATATCAAATTTATTTGACCTAAAATTATTTTAAACTGTTTCAAATGTTATGTAAACCTTTTAACTGATTTTCAACAGGTTTTGATGATAGATGATAGAAACAGTGTTCAAGTTCGCCATGTCAATGTAAATAATCGTTTCAGTGAATCCGTGCCTGATTATGAGGATGTGAAAGTAAGTTTGAAATTACATTAGAAAATGCGATTTTGATTCTTTAATGTAATGATTTGTAGGAAGATTACGCGGATGATTCAAGTATTTTTATTCGAGAGAATAGATTTGCAGCATCAGCAATAAGTAGCTTATTCAAGAAGAGAAAACTCGATCCTCAAGATAAATTAATGAGTGGAATACCAGTTGTTCCAGACAATGATCCAAATTCATTATCATGGGGACAAATGTTACCATCAAAAATTGAATCAAACTTGCCTCCTTATCCTCCAAATATAAAAGCAAAAGATGGGCATTGGCAAGTGGTTAATGGAACTCGTTTTAAGGTATGATAAATAAAAAAATTTAAATTCTTATTCCCTTTTTTTAAATTAAAACTAAAACTTTTTTTGTGTAAAGTTTTTTGTATTCTCAGCTTATTACGATAGGCGTGATGGACGTATGTTAAGAATAATAGGTGCAACTAAGACTAGAAGTCCAGAAAAAGTCTGGTGTCGCATGTGGTATCCTTTAGATGGAAATAATACTAAATTCCGTTCTATTTCTGTAATGGCGAGAGTCAAAGTTATTAGAGAAAATTGGAATCTCAAATATAGTGCTTGTTTTATCCTTTGTCCATTACGTTTATCATACTTAGATGTTCCGTACTCTGTTAGTGTGGTGAGCAAATTACGTATGCCTCCTGGAAATATTTTACTGTTGCGAAACACTGATTCTGATCAAGACTTTACTAATCGAAGTTATGCTGACATACCAAATAAAATTGCAGTTTGTGTTAAGCCTCTACATTTTAATTACGACCAAGTGAGAAAATCATATAAATTATACAATCCTTGAGAATTCTGAATAACAATTTTTTTTGCAGGCGTACTACATGCTTGAGTTCTTGGAGTTAAATAATCTTTTAGGTGTGACACATTTTACATTTTACAATCATACTATTGGTCCAAAAGCAAACTGCATCTTACAGCATTACATGGAAGGAAAAATTCCACAAACTTTTCTAGTCAATTCACTTTTACGGCCTAATAGTGGCGATAAAAATTCAACGGGCGATTTAACATCGCATAATGACAATTTAACAACAATTCGAAGTCCAAAAATCACTGTTGAGATTTTGCCTTGGAATTTAAAAATGAAATCACAGAAAGAAATAAGAACCGAAGGACTATTTAGCTCACTGAATGACTGCTTATATCGAAATATGTATAGGTAATTAAAAGTGTGTCAATTGTTGATTTCTAGTTCCACCTAGAGACCCCCCATAGAGATAACTGTGAAATTTTTTTACAATTTTATTATTACAGATATTCGCACGTTGCATTGGTAGATTTAGATGAATTTATTATTCCAAGGCATAATGATACAATTAGCGATTTACTAGAGTAAGACTATTTTGAAAAATAATATTGCATCAAATATAACGGTGAATTAATTATTTTTACAGTTGGCTCTCAAAAAGAGTAAACAATAAAAACACGGGTGCATATTCATTTCAAAATGCATTTTTCTACTTACAATTTGCAAACGATGAATCAATTTTTGACAAGCGAATACCAAACTCTCAATTAAGAGCTACTCTTGTAACTCAAAAGAAAACTAGAAGGTATTAGCACACAGTTAATTAAAAAAAAAAAATCAAAACAATTTTATCATATTACAGGAGACAAAAGCTTCATCCACAAAAACAAAGGTCAAAATATATTTGTAAACCTGAAGCTGTGATAGAAGCGGGAAATCATTTTGTCTGGGAGTTCAGACCTTCAATGGGATCATTAAACGTCCCATCCAATTCTGCCATACTTCATCGTGAGTAACTTTGAATAAAAAAAAAAAAAATATTTTTTAAACATTAATATTCTCTCCTAATAAAGATTATCGTGTATGTGAGTTTGGCGGATCTGATTGCATAAAATCTCCTTCGGTAGAAGATAAAACTGCTCATAAATATAGTAGTAGACTAGTCGAAAGAGTAGGTTCTGTTTATGAATATTTAAAAGACACTTGTAAACTTCCCAATCTTCCCCTGACCCCGACAAAAGCACCACCTACACGTTCGAAATCATTACGAATTGGAAAATTAGGAAAAAATGTTGTAAACACGACAACAAACAATTTAGAAAAAAATGATGTAAAAATTAAGAAACTTTCCTTTTCATAAGCAAATCAGTCATTGTTTATTTGATTATGATTATGTTTTTTGATTGTGAATAAAAAAAGATAATTTTATGAAATTAGGAATTTGCAGAGATTTTTTTTAATTCATAAAAAAAAATTAATGGCATAATGAGCTGATTTTTAATTATCGTGCACCCCATACTGCTCATATACAAAACTTGTTATGAACATTAATAATAGTAAAGTTTTGCCTTAGTCTGATAATTTTTAATTCAAATTTTTACATCGAAATGCATTGAAGCTGCCACAAAAGCAGTAGAAATTGTTTAATTAATTTAGCATAGCTTTAGAATAGGTTTCCAATGGTCAAAAATATTCTGGAAAAAATGATAGCTAAAATATAAAGTTAATAAAATATTCATTTCTTAAATCCAAATTTAATATTTTGTAAAAAGTGAATGAACAATATTAGAATTGAACATCATATAACGATTTAATTCTATCTCCTGGAATGTCCTTTATTGAATATTTGAATATTATTAATTTAGTAAATTGTTATTGTATACAAGATTATATTGAATTTGGTGATTAGTCTTTATAGATATTTTCGTTTTTTGACATTAACAAACTCCTAAATGCAAGTATTTCAATCTTTTAATAAATTTGCAAGAGACATATTAATGATATCAAATGGACATAAGATCAGTAAGCAAAAAAAATAATTTGATTTGAAATAAATGACAAACACATTACAATTTTAACGGAAGAAAAATCTAATTTAATTAACAAATTGTACATCATGTTAGAGACACATAGTGAAGAATATTGATACGTAATGTCATTTTAAATGGACAAGAAAAATATTTAGATGAATCAAAAGGAAAATGAAACAAAAAACAAAAGATAAATCACAGCTTGATATGTATGCAAACATAAAGAATTTTCTTTTGGTAAATCAACTTGTCAACTTGAATGTAGAACACTTGCAAATGAATTTGACATAATAGTAGTCATTACCGTAGTATCACATTCTTAACATATCCTCATAAAATTGAAACACAAGATAATAAAAATTCCATTAGAATAATACTCAATTTGTAACAATACACCATCTACACATGCTATGTCTTTTTCTTTCTTTTCCTTATTACTTATTACTTTTTTCTATATAATTTTCTCGCTCTTGTGCCATCAACATAAAATCATTAATAACTGTTTGAGATATAATCGAATGCGAAAGAGCAAGAACAATATTGATAAGCATGTTAATTGTCGTTTTTATTTAAAAAAAAAATGAGGACAGAAAAATAAAAAAATTTATCTGCAATTCACATTAATTAAACGTTGAGCGAGATATTGTTTGCCATGAAAATTAAAGATGATTTAAAATGAATGAAAAATGAAGCATGAACGTAGAATATACGGCAGTTTAATAATGAATATATTATTAACGAGACAACAAAGTGAGAATGAATTAAAAAAGGATAAATAAATGAGAACAATAAATTGACATCATATCATATGAAATTAATTTAAGTTTTATACAATTTAAAAGAGAAATATAAACATGTGCTTTTAATTAGCATCGGCAAAAAAATTTACTTTTTTTATCGTTCAATTTTTTTTTTTGCATTCTTCACATTATCTTATTTATAAATAAAAAAAAATTATGAAGAAATTGGATATATTATGTATTGAATATTCAATCTTATGATATTTTAGTTTTATAAAATTAAATAAGTTTAAATAAAATTCAAATATTTAATGAAATTCACTTGCCTTTAAAATTATTTTCATTTACAGAATATGTAAGTTTACACATGATGAATTCGTCTATTAAATTCCTTGAAAGTTTTCGTCACAAGAAAAATCTCTTCTTATTTTTTTTAAATGCTGTGATTTCGTGATGCATTTTGAAAATTCTAATGAAAATTTCAGAAATTTTTGGCTAAAACTTGATCACTTTCTGACAAGACTGAATATGCATCTCATTCAAAAATCTGCGAAAAATCAGAAATTAATCATTTTTTTGCAAATTCCAAATATGTTTTGTATTGTCATTAGAAAAGATCTTAAAACTATTCCAAGTTAAATTATGGATGTTTTGGATTGTAGTCATATACATGGAATAGGAGAGCTTTTGATGCGTAAAGACCTTTTCTAATTATTTCATTGTGGGTTTTGAGATATATAAACCGTTCTGATTTTTGATCTAACATAAAATGGGGCCCATAACCACTAGTAAGAGTATAAAATGACATATTTTATTGAGTGGTCATAGGTCAGAGATATCGGATAAATTGTTGTCATTAACACAATCCACCTTTCTTTTTTATATTTGCATCATATTCTAAGATGCATAAATTCTAATAAATATGGACATTAGAATTAAATTTCAATAAAACAAACTGAGGTGATCCGATGAGGGTTAAATCTTGTCCATAGAATGTTATTTGAATTAATTTTGTTTAATACCTGACAAAATTTTGTTTGTTTTATGTTGTGTATGGAGTATAAACATCTATAGATAAGAGGACAATTGAAAATTTACTACATCACAAGATTTCATGCTTGATGACATTAAATTGTATTATTTATGCTCCAAATGGGCACATATAAAGTGTATTTGCTCCTTGTAAACGTGATAATGTTTTAATTAGTAAATTCCATAATAGTTTATTACTCTGATGATGGTTACCATTTGTGCATTTGTTTATGATTTTTGATGTATACATGTATGAAAATTTACTTCAAAACGTGAACATATATTCACTTATCTCTCATTCAAGCTCACTATAAGGACCTAAATGAATAAAAGGATTTTTTTTTAAAAAAAAATCTTACTGCATCAGAAACAAGAAAATTTAATCACATAAAGTATGTTATAAAAGTCTTTGTACATTTTGATTAATGGTTCAATGATTTTCAATATTTTCCATGCAGTCAAAATTGAATTTCATCTCATTTTATACTGTTCACAGAAACTCCTTTTCAAAGGCATTTGACTGGAAATTTGTTAAAGATGAAAGCCTTTTAATCTTTCCATCATCGTCAATATGTACAAATGTGCATTAACAGACACAAAGTTAACAATTATCAACAATACTGAGAAAGTGAATGCAGCACACTAAACATTGATTCATTACCATTATAGCAACATATATAGATATTATACATAAATAGATGAACATGAATGAGATTTTTTTTGAATAAATTGCATTTTAGAATTTAATAGCTATATTTTCTTCCATTAACTCTCACAATTTTCATTTAACCATTACACAACTCAATTGGCAATAAATTTTTAATGAACGGAAATTGTGGAAACTTTTCACTCTCTCTCCCTCTCTTTTTCCTTCACTTTTTTTAAAAGCTTTCTTTTTAATGGAATCATTTAGAGTTTCAGAGGGATCTTAAAAAAGAAGAAAAGCCATTATATAAAGTAAAATATGAGTGACTTATGTCCATGAGTTTTCCGTGGCATAAATAATAAAAAAAGTCAAAAGAACACAATCAAGATTGAAAATAATGTGAATTATTTAGCACTTTTTTGTAGGAGACTGTTTATCAGTTTCTTAAATTAATAAATCAATAATCTCTCGAATCAAAGAGTCAATATTAATAAGCATAAGTTTATTATTTTCTGTAATCATTCTGGAATTTAAAGCTTCCTTTACACAATTTTAACTGCAGCATATAAATATTTCTGCATATTCTGGGATAATATTGAAACCTAAAACTTATCATCAATAACAAATATGTGTAATGCTGAGAACTTTTATCGCCAAGCTTAACTTCATCCTATTTCATAAATTTATGGAATTGAATTTGTGTAAAAAGCCCGGTGATCCTAACCTAAGCTTACTCATGAATTTTTTCAAACATTCATACATTTTTTGCTCTCTATTTGGTATTTTTCTTTCTTCTCTATCCACCAGTAATTTATGGCATAAGCGAGGCAACAAATTTTTCGCATGCAAAAGCCACATTTTAGAGGGTTGTAATGTATATACATATATTTATGTATAAATTCAAAAATGTTTTGCAACATTTTTCATGCAAATTTAAGCGCATGAGAGTATACGGAGAGTAGCAAAGAAAAAATAAATTAATTAAGATTAAATATTCTCTGTGTTTAAAGTCTCTCGCTTTCGAATCGAGGAAGGCAAATTGAGATAGAATGAAAAAAAGACGAAAAAGGTTATGCAATGAGGAGAAAAATTTTAAATTTTAAACTAGTGTATCGGGTAGAAACCTAATGCGGATATATTCACACCGTACCATCAAAAGTCTAATGGATAGACCAAGATTTGCTCAGCATAAGTTTGAAGGGTGGGCGTGAAGTACGTCCGAGACCCATATCGACACAGTTCAAAAATTATAGCTAATTTATGTTATAATTATGTCAGCAACAAAAACACTTAGTTTGAATTTTATCACCCTCGGGAACACTATGAACCAGTATAGCTGATTTTGGTCCAAATCTCGGCCATACTTCACACTTATTTGAACCACATTTTCTCGTAAATGTTAAAATATTATTAAAAAGTAATTAATCCTGAATTATGTCGCTATTTTGTCAAGTGTTTTAAAATAAAGAATTTGTTTTTTTGGTTTCCACAGTGAAAAGTATGAACAAAATTCAGATGGGGTAGTCGAAATTTTAAATTTCGATTTTTTTTTAAGCTATGCATTACAAAAGGTAATATTGGTATGTGATTTATGTCAGAATTATGTCAATTCAAATAAAACATCCAAAAAAATTTTTTGACCAAAGAACCAAGTAGGAAATACTGGGAAATACATTTTCAATTTTGGACTAGGGGCGACCCTAGTCAAAATCAATTTGTCACTTTTTTCTTCGAGGGTTTATCCAAATGGATTAAAACTATGCATAAATATTCTAGTGCTTAAAAGAAATACAAATAAAACATCCTAAAATTTTTTTGAGCAAAGAACCAAGTAGGAAATACATTTTCAATTTTGGACTAGGGGCGACCCTAGTCAAAATCAATTTGTCACTTTTTTCTTCGAGGGTTTATCCAAATGGATTAAAACTATGCATAAATATTCTAGTGCTTAAAACAAATACAAATAAAACATCCTGAAAATTTTTTGAGCAAAGAACCAAGTAGGAAATACATTTTTAATTTTGGACTAGGGTCGCCCCTAGTCAAAATCAATTTTGTCACTTTTTTCTTCGAGGGTTTATCCAAATGGATTAAAA